TAATGTATATATGATATATACATGTATATTTATGATATATAGAGAGTTCAGGAACTCCAGTGGGAATTTGAAATCTGAATTTCTTTAGGTGTTTTTTATTTATTTATTAGCTCTATCATATGATTATCTGTTTAATAGTTTGTTTTTTGATTTGATGTCATTTAGTTACTATTCTATTAGTATTCTGTCTAAAATATTTCTACTCAGAATTTGACAGAATCCTCTTTATCAGTTGAGCGTAAAGAAACATTGAATAGTAATATTTTATTCCTCTTGTTAAGCAGAATATTTGAAGAAGCTCAGACTTATAGTTCTAATCATGAGTAAACGAAACTTTAAGTTATTTAATCCGCATTTCCAATTCAAGCTCTCTTTCTCTAATGCCAAGTGCAGGAAATCCAGTAAATAAGCTTAGATTTTAATTGTAAGAGGCTGTTTTGTTATTTGAGAAATTTTGAATAACCAAGGGTAGGACGATTTCTGCTCTCAATTCTTGAACCTGCGCTTGACAGGTTTTTCTCTCTTTTAAAATCAGAGAGCGATGTCGGTGGGTGGAATTTCTCTGGAGGTGATGGCAACGAGTAATTATGCGAGAGTTGAAATGTAATTTTAAAAGAGCTTAGCTTGTCGCGGGATTTAAGTGTACGGGGATAAGTGGAATGTTTGCTTTAGAGGACGGATACAAATTTAGTAAGGGGGGGACTACTGCAGTAAAAAGATGCTAAACTGCTTCGTTTTAAGAAAAGTTAATCACACATCAAGGGATCATTATTATGTAAGGAAATTTTTAAAATGAATGTGTAGAAATTGTTTTATGTATAGTAAGTAAAGACAAAATTTTGTAAATTAGTGTGTCAAAGTTTCATGAGGAAATATTCATTAAACTTTAATCCAAACTGAATTTGTTTGTATGTGGAAGAACGACGGAAAAAGAATATCAAAAACAGAAACTTTCACTAACTAGGGTAGTAGAGGCTCATACATCAGATTTCTCTAATTTTTGATGTCTTAGTAAGCATTTGCCTTATAAAATATTTTTCGTCCTCATATGTTTTCATAGAATTTCTTTCACACATGTATAAAAAGTAATGCTATTTAAAGCTGCTAGCGAATTTTTATTCAGTTTGAATTTTTTCTCTTTCTTCTGAATATCACATGCACAGCAGTTGACTTCAGATGACTGCATGAATTAACTCATCTGGAAAAAAAGAGCTTTACTGCAGATGTAAAAGAACTGCTTAACGGGTAAGTGTTATTGGCTGACTGACTGGCTGATCTAGAAGTTTAATCAATTAATTAATTATTTCTAAATATTCATGTCTAAATGTACATATGTTTCGTATGTACTTTACAATTAATTAAGAAGGTGATAAGAACAGCAATTACTTTTAAACCTTAATCAATGAGATGAATTTTAGCGTTAAAATAGGATTTGTTGGTTAATTAAAAGCAATACTTTCTGTTGAGCAATCCAATTTAGAAATTAAATTACTTGTACACTTTTATAAAAGTGCTTACAGTTTAGAACTAATTTTACAAGAAACAAAACAAACTCTTAGACAATTATAAATTTTAGTTAAAGCTTACTTAAAACTTTCCGATATTATAAATTACACAATAATAAGCTTAAAAATAATAAGCTCAAAATTAGGTTATTTTTGGAAACAAAATTGAAAATAACATGGAAAGATGAAAATACTGGTTTCAATTTTTTTTAAAATTTTTAAACCGTTATCACATCTACTAGCTATCCTCAAAATCGCTTCGAAAGGAATATTTCCATTCCTTCGCATTATTGTTTAATTTACGCGAAAATTACTAGTATGGTTAAAACCCAAACAAAACAGAGCTGCAACAAGGTATTTTCGCCTCGGTCGTAAAATATCTCTCTTAACATAGCCGGGACATTGGTTCCAGAGAGACTGCTTCGGCTAACAACCCTCCTAATAGTAGAAGAAGAATTTCGTTTTTCGGAATTATTTCTTCGAACGTGCGTCGCCAGATGCGATAGCTCCGTTAGCTCAAAATAATTACGCTTGAAAAACAAAATGAAATAATTCAAACAGAAAATATTTTCAAAATTGCGTTTAAGTTTATCTGTATAACAATAACTCAGTCATAAATCAGTTCTATTTATGAAAATTAATGATACAATAGTGTAATAAATCTATACATTTATTTAGAAGTTGCCACACCATATTGAAATCTCTGAATGACAGTCAAAGTTTTGTAATTATGGTAAATTTTTAATGAAAATATTTAGCTGATAGAATAAGATAGGTTTTGATTTGTCCGTATAGGATAACATTTTTATTTGTTGCGAGTTAAATATTTTCTGAAGGACAAAGCTAATCAATAGCAGTTATCTGAAAATTACTTAACATTTTAGCTTGCATATTCTTATATGAAAAAGTCTCATGTGGACACCATATGACTCTGAGCCTATTAAATTACACACATTTTTTGCTGCACTTCATGTAAAGTTATTTCGTCGAATTATACTAGCAAAATAAACCGGTCCATCAAAGGAAATTGAAAATGACATAAAAAATTGAAAATTTTAAAATTAAGTATCCCGGTCAATTTTGCCGTAAGCGATTCAAACTTTTGGTGTTTTCATAACGAGTATCAAACTTTCCTATAAAAGTATACAAACTGGGAGACCGCGTTAAATGTTAGATTTCACTATTTGTCAAAAATCAATTTTTAAAAAAAAACTGACATTGCCAAAACATGAATATTTGATTACCTAAATACTTTTGTAATTGTAACGACACTACGATAAACGATTGCAAAAGTAAAGGCTGGGTAAGGCTTTACTTCGCGTAAGGCGGTGGATTAAAAACAGACACACACGCACACACACACACATTGGGCTCTGTAGATAGCAATAAAAAAAAAAAAAGAGGCACAGAAGCATTTTTTATTAAGTATTAAAAATTTACTTTTAAGTATTGCAAATCATTTTCAATGCATTCCATGTAGTTAACAGTCCCATATACAAAACTCACACTTTCTACGGCTAACCGTTTTTTAGTTATGCGAGATATATACAGACGTCCCAAAAAATAACTTTTGAATCTATTTTAAATCCATTTTACTATCCGTTCTAGAAAAAGTGTCCTTTATCCTGTGCGTGCATACAGACATCATTCAAAAAATCGTCCAAATGGACTCGTAAACTGTAAGACTGGATATTTCCTTTGAAATATGAAACCCGAAATATTTCGCAATTGCAATACTTCCTTTGCTACTTATAGAGTACTTGATACTTACATACAGTTTGACTGATATGTAATTTTTATTATTGTCTGAATAGCTAGTCAAGTGGCGCAGAATTCAGTGAGTGCAGAAAATATTGGTATAGTTCGACCGCCTCATTCGCGACCATGAGCGCAAACACGCATGCGCCATTCGGACCGAATTATTCTCAAAATAGGGTGGAAGGATGGGGACCTTTCTTTCCCTCCAATACAGCCCTTTCCGGAGAAGAAAAGACCTTTCACGTCGCAGCAAGTAATACCGCCCCTTTTTGGACGAGTCTATGTGTTTTGGCAGAATGCCAACCAGGGATGCTCTTGAGACGGTCGAACTATACACTACGTGTCATGATATAAAAACGCCTCGTTGATAAAAAAAATTATAAAATCCATATAAATGTAAATGTATGCATAAGACATTCATAAAAGAAATCCATTTTCTCGTGGTGTAAATGCATTCTTACATTATACATAATGTTGAATATTTTCATAAACATATTTAAATAAATACTTTGTAGGACTTCCTTTGGCCTTAATAACAGCTTCGAGTCCCTTGACATTAAATCCAGTTTTCTGTTTTGAACTAGATATATACTCCCATTCTTGTTTAAGAGCATTTATTAAACCATTTTTATTAGAAATGTGCTTGGATCTAATATTTTTATCGAGAGTTCCCAGAAATTTCAATGAGACTGAAGTTGGTGGATGAGGAAATTTCATAAATGTTGGTGTGTAGGACTGTATGCTTGGGGTCATTATTATGCATGAAAACATATTCACTGTACAAACTCATATTTATCGCCATAAATTAAAAATAATCTTTCCAAGATTATGACACGATCTTGGAAAAGAATTCATGGCTAGACCATAAATTATTTTTTAAGATATCAATGTATAGTAGATGGTTTATAATGCTATTAATGATAACTAAATTACCGACCCCGGAAGCATTCATACAATCCCAAAACAACACCTCTCCAGTTCCATATTTCACAGTTCGTAGTAATTTCCTTGGATGTAGTTCTGTATTTTAAGTATTGTAAACACATGACTTCTTCATATTCCCTTTCAATGACACACATTTTTTGCCGCACTTCATTTAAACTTATTTCCTCAAATTTCATTACACTTCTCATTCAATCAATTCAGTTCTCACTTCGCGACAAGGCAAAAATACATAAAAACTCAACATCTTCAAACAAAACAAGAGTTTAAAATGTAAAAAATGGGACTTCGTTAGGCTTAGTAGCACTTAAATAACTTTTAAATTATTGATTATTCTACAACTGTTGCTTGCAGCTGATGAAAGTCATAAAAACCTTAACCAAAATATAATGGCATATTGTACAAACATATAGGAATAAAAAACTGAGCTTCTCTACTCGGGTAAAAGAGAATGTAGATATATATAGACTTCTGATGCAGCTGATTGCAGCCAAAAAGGGAGGTGCACAAATTACAAGTTACGGCAGTCCCATATACAAAATTTCACCTTTTGAGGCTACTCGTTTTTGAGTTATGCGAGATACATGCATACGTACGTACAAATGTCACGAAAAACATCTCTCTTGAATCCTTTGGGAAAAATATTCCTTTATTCCGTCCATACGTACAGATATCACGTCAAAAAAATCGTTCAAATGGATTCGAGAGCGGTCAGAATGGATATTTTCGTTGAAAGTTTTCGCGATTACAATACTTCCCTTACTTTATAAGGTATTTTTCCCGCCCTCTTAGAATGCCTTCGTAGTGTAGTGGTAGCATGCTTGACGCGAATTCGAGAGGCCCGTGGTTCGAGTCCCGGCGAAGGCGTTGCTCATTTTTCATCTTCCCTGTTTTCAAAAATACCTGATGTTTCTACAACTTCGTACAAGGAAGTAAAAAATTCTAATCGTACTTTTTTACAAAATAAAGGTGTTATTATTCCTATTTTCATAGTAGCAGGTGGTTGGTTCATAGAAATTTTCAGTAGTGATTTTATTGAAATCTTAATTTTTGTTCTATATATGTTATAATTTATTTTAATTTTGAAGATCTTTATTTCTCAAATACTTGCTTGAAATACTTATGAGCGAACGCTTGCACCTGATCAAAATGTTAACAAAATGCTCTGATAAATCGGTTGAAAAATAAAGTACATACTAAACCGAAGAAATCTCTAATATTCTGGGACAAAAATATATTTTTGCAAATGTTTAAAGACAGCTTTAAGAAATTTATGTTATAATTTATGTATGTTATTTATCTTAATTAGGTGAAACGGCATGAAATTCTAAAAAAGCAAGGCTTTTGGTAAGATCATACGGTACAGGTCCAGTCACAAGAATCTCACTGCCTCGTATAAAAACTTGTATGCCTTTCATTATAGTTGCATGGCCATGGTGTGATGAATTAACTGGACCTTGGCCATCGAAGCTTCGTGAAAGAGCCAATATGGCCCGCTGCCTGAAACGTTTGGAGACCCCTGCTCTACATTCTCCTCATATCCAATCCAAAATTATTGAATTTATTTTCACCTGAAAAAAATAATGTTCTTCCAGAACTCTGGGCTTTTATTCACGTATTTGTTTGCGAAGGATAATCTTAACTTCTGATTGCTCTCACTTAGAAAGAATTTTCGTCTCGCAACACGGTCGTGGAAGCCTTGTTTTCTGAATGTATTTCCAATAAGTATTTACAGATACTGCTTTTCCCATGTTTCTCAACTCTGCTGTAAGCTTAGGAGTTTTTCTTGGAACGAGCCAGAATTCGTTTCCCAGCAGATGTAATATAAATAAATATATAGGGTCGTCCTGATGTAAATATATAGGGTCGTCCTGATGTAAATATATAGGGTCGTCCTGAAGAAGGTTCTGTTTTACATTGTTTTAGAGGATATAGAACTTAATTAATCGATTGCACAGTTGAACATGGTCTGCTGACTATAACTTAAATTTTAATGTAAAATTTACCACCTTTATGAAGTTTTAAGATTAATTCTTTTTCAGAAACACTCGTGTCTTCACCCATATTAAGACCCATGTTAAAATTTTACGTTTCTGTCCACATTTAAAATTACACCTGGATTTGTTATACAACAAACAAGATAAATAACGTCAGTTAACAACGAAAAACTGACTAAATCAGAAATAAGTTAGAAAATGCTACCGAAATTGTCCATATGTTTGAATTTACGAAAACTTTTAACGCGCAAATAAATCCCCAATTTTTAGTTTCCCGTTTATTTAAAAGCTAACTCAGTATCTTTTCCGTATCGTTTTTTGCACTCGTATTTGGAAAACGTTTTTTATTAGTTATTGCCTTTTGAAGAAGTTTTGATATAATAAGCATGCCGAAACAATAATATTTTTCGCGAAACCATTTTTGCACGAATTATTTCTACACTCACCGTATTTTCTGATTTTGCGTTTTAAAACAACACAAAACCTACTGAACCAGCTTGGTGACCCTTTTTCAAACAATTTATCATCTGAACGGCAGCATGCCAAGTATATGAATGTAGATATATTGTTCTAAAAAAGAAAAACTAGCAATAAGAATATAATTACGCCTTTCTTGTGGGATCTTAGCAACGCCTAACTCATTCAGAGATGGGGGCCTCAGCCTCATCCAAAGGCTTAGAACTCTTGAACAACTTCACGGCTTGTCTAACTCTCTTTTTTCCTTCACAGTGGTTTGATCTACATTCTGTAGAAAGTATCGAACTACAGCTTATAATACTATTATAGATTTATCTTCTCCTAAACCATTGCAATATATTGTGTCCCAAAACACCCAAGCAGGTCGAAAAAGTGACTGAAAGGCCTCCAGATCCGTCGAAGATTCGCATTAAAAACTGCTATACCCACTTGAGCCGTGTGCCCCTCCGATCGTGGTCGTTTATATCCTGTGACTAACTGGGGTTGTTTTTTTAATCCCCCCTCGAAAAAAGAGAGAGACAAGGAAATTGCGAATGGCTTTTCTTGCCTTTACTCATACTCTGTAATAAACGGGGAAAATGTTGAAGGCACAACACTTTTTCCACCTCGAAAAATCTTACGAAGCTAAGTCTCCTGAAAGTATAAAACGTTTCCTGAAATTTTTGTTCAATCAAGAACGCTAAATATTTGAACAGCAGTTTTTCCTTATTGAAAACTTGTAGTATTGTGTGGCCCCAACTTGTCAGCAACTGTGGTAGTGACTGCTATGAACTGTAAATTTACACAAACACGTAAGAAGGGTTTAAAGCCCTTTTATTCACTTTAGAAATAAAGCGCGTTCATTTGACGCTCACAACTACGCCGACGCCGGTTTAACAACAACAGAAATGTAAACTAAAAAAATAATGACTGGATGAATAAATAACTAGATCACTACTTACAGGCTCTGAAATCTTAACTAACCTAACCGCGTTTTTAAAATACAGCTGAGATTCAGCACGATACTGATTAAAGCAGTTGAAGATCGACGAACTGCCGAAATAGGCACACAGGCCGAAACGCGCGGTTCTTAAATTTCTACTAGCACCTTCCACTCGCGATTCAAGAAGCACACATACAGTCTCCATCCCTTCTATTTAACTCAACTTACTTCTGCTAAAATTTAAAGACTGCGCGTTCTACTCAGTTACAACTCTGGCATTGGCAATTCTAGGGAAACTAAAGGCTTGACAGGAAAGATAGCTTAAAATAAATGTTAGTTAAAATAAATATAAACCCTACAAACTGAATAACTGATAACCTGATACTCTGACCACTGAATACCACTGAGAATATTACATTTAATTTTATTTTAAGATTAAATTAAGAATATCAATTGCAATATTGAAATACAATAGAAAAAACAGCCCTTTTCGATATAAATTGGAAGTTAATTCAAAAATTCAGATGAATGACTAGAACTGTGTCTTCTACTTTCAATTCTGTACTTTCAGTTTAAATTTGAATAACAACTGAATTATCCAGATGATTCAATAAAACTGTGGATATTACATTCAAGATTCTTTTAATTGGATTCTTACCATATAAGCTGCTTATCCAATGATTTAATTATAAATGTTCTTTATAATATAGTAGAAGGAAGTATAATATAGTATAATATAGAAGTAGTAAGAGGGAAGTTTATAATAAGAATATATCATAAATTGATTAAAGTATGTAACAACAAACGATACTTCTCTATCAGCGGCCCCTGAAATTAAATCACTAATCAACCGAGATTATCGCACCAAAATCCGGCCACGAGTTCTTATAATAGCATTGTGTTTCATTTTTGCTGAGAGTTTCGAATTCGCATGTTTTTTAAAAAACATTTCTTGCTCTTTTGCGAATATGCGGTTAACAATCTTTAATTTAACAAATAAAGAGTTTGTTTTGTTATGTATCATGTTCCGTAAAAACATTTTCATATTTTATTTTCTTTTAGCAATTTCATTATTGCAAATTTCCTTAATTTGCGTTTGTTTAATTTTGATAATGTTACCAGGAGACATGAGGTTAGACTTCTGGAACAGAATTTCAATTTAGTGCTGAATTTAATTTTTGTTTTTATATACATGTAAGGTATAATAAAATGCGATGCACGATGGCTATGTTAAGAAATATTTGACAACCTCAAAATTCACCATTCTAGATTTTATGTTCTCCCCCTAAGTTTATTCTCCCAAATTCGAGACATTTCCAAATTATATAACACTGCTTGAAAAAATTAATTAAAACTAAAATTAACCAATAATGGTTTAGCTTTACTTATGCACCTACGTAGTATAAATTCTGCTTTGCAAGCAATTATGCCTTCCCCTTAAATGTAGCATATTAAGTGCGTAGAGGAAACTGGTACTTTTTGCAGCTTGCAGTCGTCATTCCGAGGGTGAATATTTTGATGCTGTGCAGCTTGAAGTTTGCTTAGTTAGATAGATAGATGCAAAATGCAGAAACTTTCAGACGTGGCCGCTTCTAAAGACAACTTTATTCCATGATTATTCGCATCAGATCACTTTTGGTAGACAAAGCATTTATCCAATCGTATTTAAATACGATAATTTTTATGTAGACTGTTTTTTAGAAGTACGACATAAGCATATACACTGAAGTGCCCCTGAATTAGGGATATCTAGTTAATAACGAGTTGGGCCTTCTCTGGCCTTTATAATAGCTGCCAAACGACGAAGCATAGATTCAATAGGTTTCTGGAAGCATTCTACGGGAATGGCTTGCAAACATCGGATACAGCTGCTTATAATTTAGGAACAGTCAATAGTGTTGTGTGATGAGGTTTCAAATCTTTCTCCAAAACGTCCGAAAGATGCTCATTAGAATTTAAGTCAGGGCTTTTAAGTTTTCAATTTATGACAAAGAAGACAGAAGACTGCTCATCCAACCAGCCAGTAGCCAATCGGGACCTGTGAGAGGTGAAGTCATTTTGCTGGGAATTCCATTTTGTTGAATGACAAAAACAAATAGAGGAGATGGTCGCCCACACTCTATTTTACCGAATCATATTGAGGAAGGTTGGACAAGTATCAAAGATCCAAACACTGCCAAGAGAAAACATTCCAGACCATGATTAAACCACCATGTACAGTTCCAATCTGCCTACAGGTTCATGGCATCATTAGTCTGACGCTATATTCAGCCTCCCATCGGTATTAATTAGTCGGAATCGAGACTCATCACTTGCTACTCATTTCAAGTCCTATGGATTTCAAGTCCTATTCAAGAGTATCTCTGTATTCCTTGCAGAGAAGCAGCTCGATGGCAGTATTCCAACAAGGTACACTCGTGGGTACAGCTTCTGAAGCCCATGGTGAAGCGAGCGTTGCACGATCCTTTTAT